ATCCCACTATTCGTTGGTAAAAGAGTAGCCCAAGAGTTGGCGGTGGGTGGTGATGACTAGCTGCCTTCTATCTAGTCTTGCACTGCTAAATTACGAACGGCTAGCACAGATAGCCCTCGTGTAGCTTTGCGCGAAACAAACAAACAAACCTTCCAGAATTCAGCGCTATCACCAGTCAACACTTCACATCTATTTAACAAATGATTAATTAATTTACAGTTATAACACAAAATTTCAATAGATTCTCTGATATTAAGCTCATTTAATGTATTAGGTTCATTTAAGATTGTTTTATGCCACTGTATTGAGTGACCTGTTTCTGCAACATGATTGGCCAGCGGAGATAATACTGAAATATTCAAAGAAGGCTTCATTGTAAAAGAGTTAGAGCTCTCTTGGCAAACGTTAGTTGCCCAAAACGTTCCAAACAAAAATCAATTAGACATTGGTTTCAGTTCTTTGTGCTTGCTTTATGACGATAGTACCGGACATGTGCACATAAAAGCAAAAAAGACTAACTTAATGTCAAGTTTGAGAAAATATCTGCCGCCTAACGTGACGTTTTCATATTTTGTAGCGCAGTCGAACTAACCTGTTTGCATTTAGCGCATAATATTCCAGTTAAAAATGTTCAGAAGTGGACGATGAACGTCTCAGTGGTATTACTAGTTTTTAGTTTCTGAGCTACAGAAATTATTGTAAAAACGCTGACTTTATGTGTCATTAGTATAAAAACCATACAATAACCTAAACCTAGTACTGAGTACTTTAACAATACTGACAGTAAACTAGTGATCTGGATTTAAATGTGTATATAATCAGAACCCAACAGAGCTTTTATTGTACTTTACAACACATATGACACACAAAACAAACACTATACCAAGTACCTAAACTTTTGTAGATATATTTCTGTACTTACAGGTACGCTACAGAATACATATAGATGATTATTTCAACTTCCATTATGCAATAGTATAGATTCTTCCATTACTAAATGCTTTTAGAAGTAAAGTTATTGCACAGTTTTGTTGATTTATGGCACGTGTTTGTTGGAAAATTAAGATACTTTATTTAATCAGCAGTAGCATTTCTTCGTCAGCTAACTTGAAGATTTTGAAATGGCTCAAAAGGTCGTATTAATGATATATACGTTGGTCAAAGATTCTTCAGGCACGACTGGCTGCACTTAAAAACACATACATGTATGTTTTTGTGACGCTATAGGTGGTCCAGAAAATTAGGTGATTTCGCTTTTACTGTATTAAGGGTACTTGAGGCATGGTGATCAACCTTTCACTGTTTGCTGTAGTTAGTAAATCTTTCAAATAAAGCGGTTCATTAGGAAAGTTCCCAACATGGGTTTCGTTTTGTGTTCACAAAGATAGCGGAATTCTCTTCTGAATACACTCTGACAAAAAACAACAAAAACATCCTTTTCAAGCGCAATCAGTGCTTTCAGTTTTTAGTGTAGCTTTTTGAAGAGACCTTTCAGTTGCTCAACACAAGTAAGCTTTATCTCGGCAGGTTTATAACAAGATAAATTTGTTTTAGGATTCATTACATTCACGCTTACATTATTTCTGAAATTTGCCTTAGCTCGGCTGGTTAGTCTGTAAGCACAGAACTCGTATAAAAAGAAAGTCTTGAGTGTAGACACGGTATTCATTAGTTTGAATTCTTTCGAGTTTCCTAAGAAACGCAATTAATATAGATTGAAGTAGTAACTTGTATGTTGTAACTCACTTCAATAGGATTTTATTTTTAAGACAAGGCGTGTTCAAGACGCTAATAAAGCGTGATTTGCCGAATGTAGCAGTATGTGGTAAATTTCATGAACATGTAAAATTTGGCGGTTTTACTGATATGGGCATTATTAATTGGTGTGATTGGTTCCTATTTGTATGGTCCGGCATGACCAGGTGGTTAAGGCACTCGACTCGCAATCTGAGGGTCGTAGGTTCGAATCCCTGTCA